ATGGCATCTTTGCTGATGCCAGGCAGGGTAGTTTGAGTGAGTCTGAAATTGCTGATCTCCTGAGATTTTCACCAGAACAATCTCCAGAGTTTACAAAAATTGCTCAGTGAGCAGCAGTTCTGCAAACAGAAAAGTGCATGTAAAAGACTAAAAGAGAATGGTGACACTAGTTAAAGCTGACAGAAAGATGATGGTAAGCCCTTTAGAAAGCATAATAAGTGGAAGACCATGACGCACTCTTCTCCTGTCAGCCAAGAAGACAATGCTGAGGCTAGAGCTAGCTTGTGTTAATAATCCAAGTTGGTTGTAGTGGTATAACAGTTTTCTCTGCAAACTTGAACTTGTATGTCTGCATGCTATAGTCTGAATATTTTTGCTGACCATATATTTCTTATACCATAATTTACCATCTTCCAATGGCTGTTGCAGTAAAACAATGCAAGACAGCAATCCAATTCTGTCTTTGTGAACAAGAAAGTGAGTTCAGTGATCTTCCATGGCCCCCCAAGTCACTAGATCTATATCAAATGGAACAACTTTGGTATGTGGAGGAAGTGGAAACAGTCTCTAATGTTCAGTGATTGTAAAATGACATTGTCTTGGGAATCTGAATAGAGATTGTTCACCAGAACAGTGAGGTGAGAATGAGAAGGGTGTTGATGGCAGTGATAACAGTAATGATGATGTTGAGATAATGATGTCCCTAAGATGATGACAATTTGGATTTAGCATGTTGGGAGTAGTGTGGGACGGTAGTGTAAGAATATAGAAATATCTGGGATGTCTCACCTGGTGGAATGTACTGACAGGCTCCTGAAGCATTGACCAGCACATTTGTATGGAAGGTGGCATCAAACCTCTCATCAGCACTATAGGGGGACAAGAGTAGATAAATGGGGCATTTTATCATAACAATTAAATGGAAGAGAAAAACACACACAAAGAAGAGAATAGAAGTTATTAAGCTGAGTCAGAGTCAACTACAAAAGTAAAGATAGACAAAAAAACATCAAGTGGTAAATGAAGGTGACAGAAGGCAGAGACAAGGGGGATTAGTGAAGATCCAGACAGAGTGTGTTTAATTTTGCTCATCATGTTAAATAAACACGGTCGTCTGTTACCAAGACGTCCTTCAAGCAGACCAGGGATTATCTATTTCGCATGCTCAAAATCTCTGGAACACAAAAACTGATTAATGTTTCTTTCAGAGAGTAAAAATAACCAGAAGAGTATCTGAGAAGTCAGTTGAAGAATACTTTTGCTTTGTTAGGCTGATTTGATTGTGTCATGCTGAAATTGTATCTATTGAGCTTCTGACAACACACATGCTAATAATAAAGTCTTCTACACTGACAGTTTAATATACCAACAACTAATTAACATCTAACAGTCAAATTAAACCATGCCACTGTTAGATAGTGAGCTACCACTGACTCATATTATGTTGAGATTAGTATGTGACATTAACTTCATTCATTCTAGGTGTCTTAACAATTATGGTTGCAATGTGGGATAAAATTAACAATGCCCCAGTCATACAGCTCTACAGACTGGTCAGGACCCATCTGGGAACTGGCAGGTTGCAAGTGGATGATGGAGGTTGATGGAGGGTGTCACTAGGAAAACAGTTGCAGGTGCAGAGACTGGTCAATGACCAGTGGAATAACCATGGAAGTGACAGACTTGTGCAGCTAATCTCTCAGTTGTAGTAAAACTCAAGTGTTACTGTCCCTCAGCTAGTAATTACCAAGTATTTGAGGTCAAACATGCAAAATCACAGGCAACTGTGAGTAATCAAAGCAATCACTATGACTTTTTGGTGAAGCATGTTCTTTGAAGCCAATTTCACTGTGCGAGCAACAGTGACCTCTATTCATTGTTGTAAAAGTAAGCATGTGAAAAATATAAAAAAGTGTAGCTTTTAATAAATTCTAGACTGAAACTGAAATGTCTGAAATTGTGTACTTTGGTTTAGGACCAAGTAATTTCTGGTTCTGTTATAATTCAGACCTACTGAAGTAGGCAGAGTGGCACGGTGGTTAGCACTGTTGCCGCACAGCAAGAAGGTCCTGAGTTTAATTCCACCATCAGGCCGGGGTCTTTCTGTGTGGAGTTTAGATGTTCTCCCCGTGTTTGCGCGGGTTCTCTCCGGGTACTCCGGCTTCCTCCCACAGTCCAAAAACATGCAGGTAGTGGGGATAGGTTAATTGGTCAATCTAAATTGCCCATAGATGTGAATCTGTGAGTGAATGTGAGTGCGAATGGTTGTCTGTGTCTCTATGTGTTAGCCCTGCGACAGACTGGCGACCTGTCCAGGGTGTACCCCGCCTCTCGCCCTATGACAGCTGGGATATGCTCCAGCGCCCCCCGCGACCCTGGAAAGGATAAGTGGAAGTGAATGGATGGGTAGGGATTAGCTTGAAAAAATCTGTTGACTCATTAAAACACATCTTGATTGAAATATACTTGTCAGATGTCAAAACTTGTCAATGAGGTCATCAAATGGAAAGAACTAAACTAAATTGCCAAGCATCTGAGTATGTTAGCACGGTTATCATGAGTAATTAGCATATAATTTTATCATTTAGCTCAAAGCCTCCTGTGTATAAGTATACCCTATCACGGTTGTAAACACTGTTGAGTTTTGTTTATGCTGGATAATGAGATGGAAAAGAAGGGGAAAAACTACCAAATGGACAAAGCATATGGACTGAAAACAGCCTCCTTGCAAAAGTAATGAACCGGTAAATGGCATACAATTATACCTATTTATCCATGTATTCATAACAAGTATAATATTTAATTCACATATTTCAGTATGCTGTGACCTCTTAAAAAGGAAAACTGAATGAGGTGCACTGGCAACTCAATATATCTCATTTTAAAGGATGAATGAATGTTAATGCAACTCAGACAACAGTTCGAACCGCACTGTTATTTTCCATTAGTAAATATTTACTGCTTGTAGCATGAGACTATATGCAACTGGAGAGTGAGGAACATTTAAACAACATTTCAAATTCTTCTGACAAGCTTTTTGCTTTGTGGGTGGAGCATAGATTTTAGTAAAGTTTTTGGGACTGAATCCAGAAGACGTGTAACAGGACAAAGCTTTAATGGATGCAGATTTATAATGCTACATCCATAATTTATATCTAATCATTTATTTCACTTAAAGGGTGGAAGACAGAGACTGTGAGAATATTTCAGAGTAGCTCTCATCCATTGCCTAGAATAAATGATCTTAGCATTTAGCCTTGTAATGGTATCCGGAATACATCTACCTCACATGGACAAATTAAAGCATTAAAAATTGAAATAAAAACATTTCATTTTTCATTTACTAAACCCTCTCTCAAAATGCCAATATAAATGTTTAATATGAAAGACAATGACTTGAATAATGTACAGCACACAGAGACCCAGGCATTAATGACTCCTTGATGTATAACTTTAACCGCATTTAATTAGATCACATATTAATAAAAGATCACATGGAAACTACAATATGTCTAAAATCCCAATTGACTTTTTATTGAGTTTTTTCTTAATGGGATTCTTCAAAAACTTTACTTTATAGCAATAAATAATTCCAAAAGTGTAATATCCCAGTATTAAAAGTGAAAAAGAAAATGTATAAATCATAAATGGAAGTAAAGTATTACTTAAATTAAATTGGTCATTACTGCACTGTAACTTTAAATATGTTTCTCACATAGCAGTATAGAATATGAAGTCTGGTTTCAATAGTCAGTGGAGAAATGCAATGACACGGTCTGGACTGACATATCATTCTTGTCAAACACTGTTGTAGTGTGTGTCAGCAATTTATCTTTTAGATAACTAGCTATAATATAAAAAAGTAATGCTTCTTTACAGATAAATGGTCTATACTATTTACATGAGAAAAGTAGAAAGCTTAGTCTTTTTGTATTCAAGCTTTCCGGATTCTATAAATGATGAAATATTCAAATCCATGTCTTTGACAGAGAGGAATTGTCATTGTATTCATATTTTATTCATGTGAGGAGATTATTGATTTGTTTATGTGCTGACACAAGCAAATACAAAATTACAACTGTCCCTACTTTCTGAACCTAGTGTTCAAAAATTCTTGACTAAGTCAAAGTCACTAACTTTCTTTAGAAAAAAGAAACAGAAAAAGACTATCCAGGATACAGAAAGCGGTACATTAAAATGCACATTCTCTGAAATAATATCAAAGTCAATCCACTGATCTTTGTCCTAAGGTGTTGTTGTATGAACTACCTTATGATCAAACAGTATCTGATACAAGTCCTGAGCCAGGAATCCTTAATGTCCCACTCAGAGACTCCAATAAGATGAAATTCTTTGAACTGGTTTTTGCTTCATAGGCATAAAAAAATAATCACCCTTTTTGAGAAGTGCAGCTGCATAGGGTTTACCCTTTTTGTTCTCTCAGATAAAAGTCCAACTAAACACCTCTACACCAGTAGAAGGAATATGATCATTGGTATCTTTTCATTTCCTATACTGTCTGCTGCGTCTTCCCCACCAGAGAGGAGACATTCTACATTGCCAGTCAGACTTCATAGTCCCAGACTTACCTTGAGGGTTGAACATGAGCATGGTTGACCTGGGCTTAGACTTTGTAAATCTTAGGGGCTGATGTGAGGCTGATGGGACCAAAGCAAAGATGCTTGATCCAGGCTTGACTCTGACCAGGGTCAGATGAAAGAAAGGTCAAGTGAAGTGTCAACCATGGCTAAAGACTTGGAACTTGTAGCATTTCTGAATATCCACAATCCAGAATATAATCTACTAGAAATGTGCACTTGCATTAGAGTCCACCACTTGGGAAGGAGCGCACTTTACGCTGCCATCATCATCATGCTGTCTGTGATAAAATAAATAAATAAGAATTTATTTTTTGCACAAAGGGCTGAATGGTCTGAAGATTGACTTAAGGTCTATGTATACCATCCATCCATCCATCCATCCATCCATCTTCATCCGCTTTATCCAAGGCCGGGTCGCGGGGGCAGCAGCCTAAGCAGAGAGGCCCAGACCTCCCTCTCCCCAGCCACCTCCTCCAGCTTATCCGGGGGAACACCAAGGCGTTCCCAGGCCAGCCAAGAGATATAATCTCTCCAGCGTGTCCTGGGTCTGCCCCGGGGCCTTCTCCCAGTGGGACATGCCCGGAACACCTCACCCAGGAGGCATCCTTGTCAGATGCCCGAACCACCTCAGCTGGCTCCAGTGTATACCATTGTAGCTTATTGTCAGCTGGCCCAACAGTCCTGATTCCCATGGCTTTCATGTTGTGTTTAAGGGGCATAGTAGTAAAGACAGTAAACATTTGTGACACAAAGTGGGCAGATCCTGACCTAAAAGTATCTTAATTTTGAAAAGATAATTTGATGTGATTCCTTCTGGGAGTGAAGGATACCAATAATTGACATCTGACAAGTTGGTAAATACATTAGATTGTTCCCTATGCAACCAAAACCTGCAATGCCCATTACCTACTAACCCTTAGCAGTGAAGTGGTAAATCTCTCTGACATGGGGGATAGAGGTTTAATGTCGAGATTTGGTGCGGGTGGAATGAGGGTGGTCCTGTCACTTTGAATTTAAAAAAAAAATGTGTGTGCTAAAGCCTTGCCACTGCACTGACCTAGTTTCCCATTAGGGATTTGTAAAACTACATCTTCTCATAATTTTAATCTCCTCTCATGCTTGCTTTCTTGATTCATAAAAATAAGAGTAAATGATTTTACTCCAGATTTATGTTGAATCCATGAAGAATGTCATTTACAATCTAGGTCTCTGTCAGGAGCATATTGATCATTATCAGTTATCCCTACTGTAAGCCGCTTAATGTTCTGTATCATCCCTTGTAGACACCCAGAGCTCTTGCTTCCATCCCTCTTTCTCACTCATTCTCTCTCACTCAGTCATAGGTAAGCTGTAAATCTGTCACTATCTCTCCCTTATGAAAGAATATTTAATCAACTTAAAGAAGCTGAAACAGAAACATCAGGAGTCAAATCTACCTCTATCTTGTGTCCTGTTGTCTTTTTCCCATCGCAAGTCTACTTCTTTGTAAGCAAGAAGCAGTGTATTGTTGCAAGGAGTTAAGTGAAGCGCTGATGCCCTGTTTAATATCATCTGTTTTGACAGGTTAATAATGATCCACAATTACATAGCTGTCTGTTTTAGTCACATAAACTGGAGCACTATATAAATACCACTTCAGCGTTTCCTCAAGTGGCCTTGCCTTGCACATTTCTTTGATTAATGTTTAGCAAGTGGACATCCTTAAGTAAGAACTAGAACTGTCTTCCACTTTGCAGTTTAAACTTTTAACGATTACTTACTATGGCCAATAAAATAAATAAATAAATAAATTTAAAAAAAAACCGTCCTAAAATTGTCTATGCTGTTGCAACTCCTAAAATATTTTACTGCAATTTTCAAAGGAATTTTAAGTGTTTCAAGACACCTACCAAATTCTTCTCTGAAGTGAATATTGTTTCACTATTTATTGACTTTATTTATTTATCTATTTTTCTCAGCAAATGCTTGTAGACAAAATCATGATTGATGTGCCCCACAGAGGCACACTGGGTGTTGCTGTTGCTGTTGATTTTTATTATGTCACAGCTGTTTTGCAAAAGGGTAAATGTTCTGTGTTATTTGTTTACTGTGTAGGCAGCTGTCAGTATATGTTATAAAATTCTAAAATCAGGTTATGTTTGAGGACAACACTGGTGCCACAGAAAAGGTTAAAATGCAAAGGACTCTGGAAAATGATCAAGTCAGTCACTGGCAGTAATGTGAGGTGCTTGAATTATTCTTAAATCTGACCAGATCTAGACGACATTGTGAAAGCAGCCCAAGCGCTTTGTATTTCTTCAATCTAGCCAAGCAGGACAATGAGCACAGGAGCCTCATGTCCAGCCAAATATGCTGAAAGAAAAGAGGTTCTGTTCTATTGACCTCTGTATCAGAGAAGCCAGTGAGCCAGTGTTCAAGAGACAGATTATTTCCCCTTTGTGCTATTAAAGCCCAATTCTTTGATAAAGGAAGAAATGAGCTTGTTCAGATGGATGTTTCCAAGAGCCTGTGGTTCATTATTGAATTGAACCTCGTCTACAACCACGGTGACAGGGCCTAAAACATGGAATTAAGAGAAGAGAAGAATTCTCCAAATAAATAAAGGTAGTACAGAATATAGATTAAATTCTCTCTATTCTTCTGAAGCTTGAATCGTTATTAGTTTTCAAACTAGCCAAAGCACTGGCAATTTTACCCACTTGGCACAGTGCTTTCAGTAGTCAGAGTCCTATGCTGTTACTGGAAACAGATGCAAAGCCTAAAAGGAGTTATGGTTTATTCCCCAAAGAGGGAATTGGCTCGATCATTTAATTAAATGATACTGTAAGCAGAGTGATATTTCATCTATAGAATCTTTCATTCTGCTGTGTTTTTGGATACACAGATACATGGCAATGTAGTGTAGTGTTGTGTCCATTCACAAAAGAAAGCATATTTTTCTACATAGAAGAAGAATGGCGAAAGAGAGAAAATGTAAAAACCAAAATATATAATGAAATATAATGAACAATTAAATGGTAAAAATCAATTTGAGGAAACAGTGTTGATTATTCTAGTGGGCAGTATAATGTAATTAACAGCAAAGTGGAGGTTTTGTAATGTGTGTTGCCTGTCCTTATCATTTGCTTAAAGTCAGTACACTTTATTAAATACCCACTCTAATTCACTACACTTTACCATGTGAACAATTTTAAATACAAAATGGTGAAATACCAAGAACTGTGTAAGTTGTCATGCCCATGGACTGCAAATTATATAATGGGTAAATTTAGCAACTATTGCCTGAGAAACTACGTTTGAAAAGACATTATGAAATGTTTTACTTAATTTGGTCTGAAATAGTTTGTAAGCTTTTTATATTACTGTTGTAGCCAATGAATTGATGAATAAGTATTTTAACATGGTAAAATAAATTGCTGATTACCAAAATTGGACTAACAAATCCTAGTCATGATTATTGATTTGCTGTCATTTCAAAATTGTGTTTTTTACCCTTCAGATTGACATTTTAGCCAGAAGATGGCTTTCAAGTTTTGGCTTCTGCAAGCTCCAAAAACACAATTTCCTTTTCTCAGTCCTTTATGACTGATAATGAAAAAAGTATATATCAAATTGTATTCAGTTTTAAGTTGTCAAAAGTCAGAATAATTTTTTGTTTGTTTGTTTGTTAAAGAAGATTTTTATCTGTTTCCGGTTGAAATAGTTAAAAGCCATTTGAGCAAGGCATGTTCTTCTAATGGTATTAGAAGATCTATATATTAACTTATAGTTGGATCTGCTAGATGAGCATGGTTCTAATCAGTAAAATAAATGAACAAAAGTTACTGGAAAGCAATGAAGTGACCCAATCACTAGCCTGATAAGACCAACTCAAAAAGATGAGAATGTAACATACCTGTTGTACAGAAGAATATCTGGGACCCACACTAGATTTGAAGGGAAACGGAGATTCTGAACCCCAGGGTAGCTGTCTGGGTTCCATGAGAGGTAAATGTCTGTCCAATGCTGAAAACAAAGTGTCAAATTAGAAAAAATTATATAAGGCAATGGAAAAGTGGAGGGTCAACAAAAGTGACATGTGAAGGAAACTTTTTCCCACCCTATATGTTCGTGGTACAGTGGCATATATATCACATCACTGGTATTTCATAGCATTTTTTACTGAAACTATATCCATGCATATTATTGCTTTACCCTTGAATGACCAAAAGTATCAGAAACTGCAGTAGGAAGAAATCCACTGATAAGCTGAAATTTCCATCTGTTTTATGTGCATTGATATTAATTTATGTTTCACATGGTATTTGAATCCTCATCTCAACTGATCTGAAAAGTTTGGTGATTAACCAAGAATAGTTATTGTAGATAGATTTTCTATAGCAGATCCTAGAGGATGAGGGTGTACAGGATTCTACTTTCCACTCAAACATTTTGAATATAATATTCAAAATGTTTGCTATGGATTTTTTTTCTTTGTCAAATCACTGTAAAAGATTTTTAAGTACTTCTAGTAAAGTGTTGGTGTATTAGATACTCCTCTGTTTGCAGATAAGAAGCTTTTTAAGTCCTTAACAAGAGGACAGCTTCAACCCATTAGAAGTCAAATATTTCCTCTTCACACAGACTAATACAGCTGTTGGCTCTTCTACTTTGTCTCTAACTCTGATAATGAAGCTTGGCACAGAAACGTTGCCAGGCCAGCAGTTGTTGGCACTAACCATGTGCAGTCCCATTTGAGCCTGCCAGTATTCAGCTAACTGAACACAGCATCAAAGAGTTCAAAAACACAAAGAGTGAGCGTGATATGTGTTGGTTCTGTGCTTATTTTCATTACTTATAATGCACAGCATGATGATATATGATCCACAGTGGTATAAATACTGGCATTCATCCTGGCATCTAAAAGTATGCTAGTATTATGCTTTTTTCTAAATCTGTGTGCAAGCACACATGTTACCCAGATTAACCACAATATTGAGCATGTCTTTACAATACCATTCACTGTTTGGAAATCTAGTTGTCAGGGTATTCATGTGGACAGACCATTCACCCAAACATTACATGGCAAGCACATTTACTCACGGCGAAGGTGGTTACAGGATAAAGTGCTTTGCCATTATAAAAAAATCGGCTTAGGAGTGGCTTGACCAAGTGTATTCAGACTTAATAAAATCCATAAATTAGTCTGTCACACCCAGTCCATTGAGGTCTAGTCCCACTACTTGCAGCAATCAAAGAATCTGCTGCTAACATCCGAGTGACAGACACTACAAGACATAGTTTTTCCATGCTCCAATGAGTTGGATGTGTCTTTGCTGCATGAGAGCTATATGGTGTGTATATAAATATATGGTGGAGGCATTCAATTGCTGAAAGCACAGGACAAATTCCTCATGTACCAACAAAAATCCCCAGAGCTAAAGTAGCAACAGTATATTTGGGATCATCTGCGTGTATGTATATGTGCATGCATGTATTTTTATAGTGTTTTTTTTCTTCCATTTAAAAGGTTTAGTCCTTGTGACTGTCAGCATGTTTCCACACCATCTGTCAGTTAAATATACAATAGAAAATGATTTCAAAGATATTCCATCCATCTCAAATGGGCCTGCTGCATATGTCTGCACTCACGCAGCTAATGACTTAATCACTACACTTGTCATCTGTGGGCCTTGGCGGTTTGGTGCTTCTTTTCATGTTCATTGGCTGGAAACACACAACTAACAGCCAACAGAACTAATCACAGCTCACTAACTTTGTAGTCTGTCAGGAACAGATGAGGAGGACTGAAGGCTATGTAAGGTAACAGCTGTCTAAGAATAGGTATGGAGTTGCATAACATAAATTCAAGACAGCATCACTAATTTGAGAGTATGAAAGGCTGATTTTTTTTCTTCAAATTCATATATGACACATGTGAGTCAACTGCAAATCCAAAGAGGTAACAGAGGTAATTGAAAATGTAGCACTAATCTGATTTTCGTTATTTGCAAGGGTGAATTGATTTTATTTGCACTGCAATGGCCATATTACTATATAAATATTCTACAAAATGTTGGTTTCATAATCAATGGATTGTTAACAATAACACAATTTCAGATACACTATTTTTATTTGTTTATTTGTTTTTTATTTTCAGTGCTGAGTATTTCAGTCACATCTGGATATAGAACAATCATTGACTGATAAACCTGTAATCCCAAACTTGTCCTTTCTTTGACTGTCTGGCTGACTTTGTATGAGCTGGTTAATGTACATCTTAGGTCTCTCTCAAAAATTGCAACGTCTGCAAAGCCTCCGTAAGCGATTGAACCATAGTAGATGCCGGTATTAAAGAGGAGGCTTCCTGAATAATTGATTTATTCAACTTGTAAGGTAGTCAGCAGCCAACTCAACGTGATGGCTGTGACATACTTAATGGGATCTTCTGAGTGTGGCTGTTGTTATAATGAGACTGTTGTACCTACCTGGCTGGTTTGATGTAACACTTTTCCTAGAGCTACTAAACGCTGCAATCCATATTTTTTATGCTATTTACTTCTTTGCCAGTTTCTATTCTGATATAGAAATTCTACTTAAGTGGATAAGAGATAGGAATTTGTCTGACAACAGCATAGCAACCACACACAGGTTTTGGTGGACTGTGTTGAAGCAATGCAAAGTTTTTAAAGAAATTATGAAAGTAGTGCTTGCTATGCAAACAAAATTACCACAGATAGTGTGGCATTTGCTGCAACCTGCAACCTAAGTCAACAGTCTAATCCATGTTTCCCTTCACACATACAGTCATGCAATGTTTTGACTGGACTGCATAGAGTAATGTGAAAACAAAGGACACCCTTACTGCTTACATGGGAATTAAAAGACAGGTGCTACTTATCAAATAGATTTGAACAGTTTTGGCAGTTTGCTGGTTTAGAGCATTCAGGCATATTTTAACACATGCAGCCTCCCCAGGAATGGATGTGCCTGTAAATTTACCGCAAGGTCAGATCAAGAAATGCTCAGAGAAATTGCAAAAAAACCTAAGAGCTGCATCTCAGATGCTACCGGCCTCAGTTAACATATTAAATGTTAAGGACTTGTAAAAAGCATGTCTTGTTTGGAATGTTTGCCAAGATAAAGCTCTCCTCTCTAAAAAGAACACAGCAGCAGCTAAGGTTTGTGGTTTAAGCCAAATACTTGAGATCAAAGTGGAGATGTGTGACCATAAAGTTCCTAATCCACATTTGGCAAAAAAACAAACATAACATACAGTACAAACACCTCATGCCAGCTGTCAAGCACAGTAGTGGAGGGATACTGATTTGGACTTGTTTTGAAACCAAAGGACTTGGACAACTTGCAGTCATGAAATCCACAATGGGCAATGGCTCAGTCAAAGTCCAGACAACAACCTAAAATGTGGCAGTGCTTAGGATAGATAAGTGGAGTTGTTCTTATGTAGTACCTTTCTAGCCTGTTTGAACACTCAAAGCTCTTTATACAGCATGTCTCATTCAAACGCACATTCATACAACCATTTTTTTCTACATCTTAGTGTTTCCTGTCTTACATTCATATTCCGATGAACTCATCAAGAGCAACTCAGTGTTCAGTAACTCATTCAAGGATACTCTAGCAGACTGGTGCAACCAGGGATCAAACCTACCAACCTTCTTTTTAGTATATGACCTGTTCTACCTCCTGACTAACAGCCACCATGGAGGGTTCAGCATTAACGAATATCTGCAAACCTCAATTAACTAAAAAAAAATAAAAAAATAGAATATATCAACAGTATCAAATTTGTCCCACAATGACATGAGAGACTAATGACGTCATACAGGAAACAATTACTTCAACTTAGTGCAAGTTATTTCCAGTAAAGGTGAATCTCACAGATGGACTTTTAACAGGAATCTACATATTTTGTATTAAATACCTCTACACCACAACAAAGTAAAAACCTGAACTGTTGACTCTCTACAATGAAGATATTGTGTAGCAGTTATGCTTTGGGCAGTATTTAGTTAGCATGGATTGGTCCACTTACCTCCTTAGGGAACATGATAAATACAGATCAATACAAAGTTGTTCTGAGTGGTCAAATTTATGATGACATATTTCTGTGCTGACGGCAGTGATCCTGGACAAGCTGACAATGAACCTATCCACAAGACACTAGGGGTTTATGGTTCAGTGGTTTGATGTGTATGAAATGGATGTGAGTCACTTCACAGTCACTAGAACTCAACCCAGCTGAACACCTATGGGAGATTTTGGATTGATGTGTTAGACAGACGCTGCCAAGACCATTATCAAAATATTAAGTGGGAGAATATCTTTGGGAATATGGGAATGCTGATAAGTCCAGGAATATCCCAGAGACTGGCATGTAGTGGCCTAAAAACTTAAAAAGTAATGTCTTTCTTTGTCACCTGTCTGTAGGAACGGCACTATTTTTGTATTTCAGTGTGTGACTGTATTAGTTGAGGAGGATGTTGATTTTTCTGTGGCTTTAGCCTCACCTCCATAGCACAATGACCTGGATGTAGCCAAGCCATGACTATAATTAAGACATATTATAAGTGTTATTTTAATATGAGTTGCCTGAAAACATTATGTTTGTTCATGTTCTGAAATAGGAACCAAGATTTAAAATTTGTATTTTAAATGTTGAGAATGTCAAATCAGATATCATTTTTAAGAGTAAAACAAAGGTAAAATAGAAAAGCTTAAACGGCAAAAGAAAGTAACCCAGTGTTTTAAATCTTGAGTCCTGAAAGAATATCTTTGAAAATATATTTCTATCACCTTCCCCTGCTACAATGCTGACAATAAATAGCCTTATGATACCATGCTATTATTAAATATTATATAATATCATATTATCCTATTATTATCTTATCTTAACATAATTTTTCCTTTATACTTGGCAGTTAAAGATGTCTGCCATAAAACTGCATCGTGCTGTTTCTTGTTTGTTCCCAGAAATTGTTTTTGTTAAAAACAAAAGGTTATTGGTTGTAGCTTGTGCTATGCCTTCAAGAGCAGTCAGATGTGTACACTTATTGAAAATATGAATGACACAGCCCACATATGGCTTCCAAAAATATACTAAACGACAATTATTGTGCAGTGATCACACAAAAAAGGACTTAAAAGTGAGACGTACCAGCTGCAGCCAGGCATTTGTTATCAACACTTGGTTCTTTTCATCCTGGAGGGGAACAAAAGGAGACGGAGAGAATAATCAGCAGTGAGTTGACATGGGTGCAGGCAGATAGTAAATGACAATATTCTACAGGGCAAGAGTAAAGAAAGAAAGAAATTATTCAATTCTGGTAAACATAAGGCACAATAATGAGACAGATCGGCAATGAAGTCAAACAGCATCTCATACGAGTCTGAGCTGCCGGCTAACTGAATGACAATGATGTACTTTTTCAGCATTCTCTTATTTACAAGGTTTTTCCATTGCCACGTCAAAGAAGTAACATATATCAATATTTTAAACAGAAGCAAAAATAATAAAGAAACAGGGTCAAGCAACAATTTCCATTGACAATAGACAGGGTGAGTGCTTTTCAAGAAAGAGATGAGCATACAGCCATTTCTATCCATATTGTGAAAGTATAAATACACAGAAGCTCCTAAAGTCCAACTCATGGTCAAATGTTCAGATGGAGAAAAACAGAGAGGATGGCTGTTGATTCTTTTATGATTCTAGAAGTAGTGAGATGAGAGTGAGAGCAATAAATGCAAAAAATATTCAGAGAAAACTGATTTCAGAGATGCTTCAACAAAGCAAGTCATAGAAGAAATAGTAGTAGTAGTATTGGATAAAGAGAGACAGGAACAATGCAGGGGGGGAAACTGAGATGTGAATGAACTAGAGTCTGTTTTGTGAAATCCTACATGACAGCAGCACATTTTGCTCCTTGTGTTATTACTGATACATTGGGTTCATGTTTTATCACTGCCTTGGATCTGAAACACTTGCAAGCTGCTTGTGGGTAACTGGATGATCTCGTGCTGTGTTTCTTCATTGAATAGCCCCTTTTTAACATTCATGGATTCATTGAAGTGACTTATCACATTATCTTCTACCCATGACTGAAGCTGGAATAATACAGTTATTTCAACCCTTTCAAAACTTTCCCTTTAAAGTTACTGAGATAAAATCATGAAATCAATTTACTGTACTCTCTATTTTTCTCTGTTTGTCAGAACTAAGCTTCTGAACAGTTTTCTGTCTTATCAGACTCTTTCACGCTGTTACTTTTATTTTTCTCCCTCTGGATGTTCAGGATTTCTTATTTTGTGAAACAGTCCAAGTGGTGAAGTATGGTTAGATATGACCTTACAGGTCACCTTCAGATGTTTTTAAGACTATCTTTAAACATTAGTTGGGAGACCACATGTACACTGAAATATTTGCTTGGAATGATTCTTGATGTTCATTGAGATGTTAGGAAAACCCTTCTTTAAGATATATACAGTAGCTTGTAAACTTTGATTCTATATTTTACTGCTAAATAGATTTGAAATACTAGAAATGAATCACTGTCACATATATCCCCTCTGTTGAATATTGCTCGCCTAATAGTATAATCTAAAAACGGTAGTCAAACAGTAAATAGTACTTTGATAATGTTTCCATTAAATTGTTTTAGAGAGGCGTTGACATATTCTTCACAATAATTTTGGAGGATGTTTGAGGGTATTTTAAGTCCTTTATTTGAGTAAAACTGTCCTTTGTCACTGATCCTGTTCACAACTTTTGTGTACAGACTTTCTAGTTGCAGGCAAGTAGAGCAAGGTTTCTGGTTTGGTGGCCTCAGGATCTCCTCTCTGTAGGATTAAAATATAACAAAAACAAGTCTGAGGCCATGGTTCTCAGCCAGAAATGGGTAATGCACCTAGAAGGGTTACCCCAAGTAGAGAGTGGAGTCGGAGACTGACAGACTGATTGTTGTAGTGTCAGCACTGACGTGGCTGCTGTACAGATCTGTTTGTTGTGAAGCGTGACTTGAGCGTGAAAGGAAAGCTGCCAGCTTACCAGACAATCTATGTTCCTACTCTCACCTATGGCCATGAGTTTCCTCTGGGCTCAGACTATGAGATTGGTTGAGGAGCTCAGCCAGAAAGGGGTCATAGTAGAGCAGCTACTTCTCAGTATCCAAAGAATCCAGCTAAAGTGGTTCAGGGTCTGACTAGGATGCCTACTGGGCACCTACTAGGTGAAGTGTTTCAGGCATATGCTAACAGAGAGACACCCCAGGGCAATCACAGGACGTGTTGAAAATTATACCTGTCACTTGGCCCTCCAAAATCTAACTCAAAATTTAAAAGCTACTGCCAGTGCACTTAATATTGGCAACCATGATTTTCTATTTTCAATAAAAAGGCACAATAAATGTATTAACAAAGCATTTATAGATGCTCATTTACACTAGAACTATAGTAAATTAAAGTAAATATACCATATAAAATAGGCAACTGACAAAGAAGAGAATAATTTCTTTGTGTTTACCAATATAAATCCATTAAAACATATTTTGCATATAAAGAATCCTAAACACATTTGTTCTGCCTCAGCACTATCTCTGATCTGGGTTAAGCCAGAAATTATCCTCAACATCACAGGAAAGCGAAGCTAGCCAGAGGGGGAAACGTTCTTAAACAAGTGTACTGACCCATGGCCCTTTTATCTATCTAGTGTGAGGTTCTGATTGGTAATCAACCAATTTTGAGTCTGAGTTTTCCACCTGGGAAACTGCTATGACACCATACACAATATTGAATCCCTGTGGTTCCTGAATGAGAACATGGTACAGCCAGTGATATAAACCCATTTCCACATGGACATGAACATGAACTCTAGACAGTGTCAAGAGAATTAGGTCAGGACATTGCACCTTCTTGCATGCAGTGCTTAACAGGAGTTAGTCTGCTTCAGATGCTGCCCATTACTGGAAGTGCTCTATTTGATTTAGACCTGCGTAGAGCCTGCAAGGAGCAAGCAAATGCATGCAGTGATTCACCTATTCTCATATGCAGTACAATCATATATTACACAGACTTTCTACTAAGGGGCTGATGGCAAAACTGTCTAATATCTGATCTGATAAGGTTGGACACTTGCTTTTTTACACGCAGCTACATTCTGTAATATCTTGAAAAAGGTCAGGGCACAAGTGCATTTGTGAAAATGCACTTACATAGGAATTCATGAGAAGAGATTTTAACAAAAACTATAACTAAACCTAAGTCATACGCAAAAAAAGGAAGTTATAATGTGTAGGATACTGGTCTTGACAAAATAAAATTCTGTAGACTATGCTACCCTGTCTCTACATGTTTTTTTTCAGTCTTTCACTAAAAAGAGGATTTTTTTTTCACATAGGTATATAATGGAAATTCTGAACATACTTACTATACATAGACACACACACTCAGGATTGTGGTCACCTCAATTAAAAAAAAACAATGTAAGTAAATGAGATTTTTTTTTACAGTTACCAGTTTTATTCTTATTCTAAATTGTAAATGTAGCAGCACACACCATACAACATCAAATTTCATTAACATTCTCCGTCATGATTATCAGGATGTATAATCAACTACCACAGTTTTTCAAAGGTTTAACTTTGTGTCATCAGCGACAAGCCAAGCAAAGCACTGCTTTAACTTCTCTTTGTAGTGAAAATCGATTCTCACAGTTTACACCCCCTCATCCCCCTATCCCTTTGCCTCCTCAATTCCTCCCTAACTCCCCCCAAACTACAATCTTATCTCCACCTGTCCTTTCTAATCTCTGCTTCTTTTAAACAGGCTTCCTTCTCCACAGTTGAAATGGAACAGCCTTCTATTGTATACGTTACAAAGAAACATTTTATGTCCCTCTGGTGTACAACCTAATGTACAGTTTTGGAGACCTGGCTTTGCTTTAAGGTTGCTATGTTTTTGCTCTATTTTGTGGCTGACCTCTCTTTTTTTGGTGTTTTGTGAGATTTCACTGAGCTGCAATATCAGCTCTGTGACACCCGCTATAAACTCTCTAATCTTTTCATAAATCTACTGTGATTGGTTTTTGTAGGCTGTGCTTGATGGACACTTGCATTTAATAACAGCTCTTTATCTGTATTTCACTGCAAGCGATATAGCATTCAAGGCTGAAAAATGTAATACACATATGAAATAGTTCTTTGTTTGAAATCTTCATGTGCATTTTCCCCCAGAAAGAGGATTTCATCTGTGGAGTTCATTCAGTTATGTACCCAGCTTGGAACAATAGGATAACGTCCTACCTCTTTTTCTTCCAATCCAGATGAAAGGATCAATATTTCAAAGATAGAGAATCACCAAACAGGGAAGACAACAAATTCTAAAATCTGAAATAAATAATATCTTCTTAGAAAACTCTATTGTGCTTCATGTACTTGCATTGACTTTATATTTCCCATCAGTTTCTTTGAATAATAGAGCTTCATCGGGACAAAGAATAGTGAAAATTCGTTCTTTTATATACAGGTCAATGGATACGGTCATGCTTCTGCTGCAATGCATCAGTTTATCTGAAAGAGGAGCATCTCTCTGCAGATACTTTATATCTCAGGGTTGATTGAATCAAACATGAACAGAAGCGAAGAAGTGCCTGCTCTTGTGCAAAGAAACATCTGTTACAAGCATTTTTTCTGACTATTTTAATCTTCCTCAAGAGTCAAGAATCTTCCTCCAGAGTTGTTAAGTAATACTATTATCCCAAAGCAAACAGACTTCCATCTTACTTTGAATGTAGCATGAGCATACTTGGCAATTGAAGAAGAAGTATTCAAAATGGTTTACTTAAGCATTTATGACTAGTATTAATATTTTTTAAAATTATCACCACAGGAAATTCTCATTGTGTGAAAGTATGTTTTTATAACAAAAACTTGTTGAGAATGTGTCTTCAATGAAGCGTTTTTTGGCAAAAATCCTGCAGATGAGTTTTTAACAGTGGAATTGGCCATGGTACATCAAAATTGTGACTGTTATATTTTATCACTGAATCATCTTCATTGAGGCTATACGATGATTGTGCAAATTTAATGTTGATAGCCGGATTAGAGCTCATTATTCATTCGATTTCATATTTAAATTTATAATAATGTCATAGTACATGTTTTTTTAAATTATTTTTATTTATTTTTTAATGTAAAACCCTAATCAGTTAAGAACGCAACACCTATAGTATTCAAGTATAAATGTGTGGTAAAGTAAAATTGCAAATATTTATTTCTCATTCATAGTTGTTCACTCAGAGGTAAAAGAGAAACTCAAAAGAATGAAAGGGTATATATGTGTTGTCCTCAATTAAATATACTTTGTTACATATCTGCAATGAACTTTACTGGTTTCCTAATAAGGTGCATGAGACACATGGTGGCACTTTATACTATATGGTTACCAGTTGTCCATCAGTCTGTCTGTGTATGGCATTATTCATGGCAGTGGACCCAGTGGGCATCAACCTGCCCTATTTCCATGGTTAGAGAGTTACCCAGGAGCAGATGGAGGAATCAAAGGCCATATTACACACACATTGCAATTATACACACATACATATACACAGACACAGCAAGGTTTACATTATTTACAGATGCCCAGTAAGCATTAATTCATCTGGTTTTGCCAGCTTATTCATTATTTATCAAGCCATCTAACAGCACAACAATACATAAACGACCAACACACAAACACACATACATGCACATACATGCACATACATGCACACTATACATATTTACATAACATAAACTACAATAACTATAAAATAGTTTTAAAAGAAAAGAAATTTGTAGTCATGTAACTATGTGACGAGTTCTTCAGAGATTCCATGTGGAAGCTGCTTGGTTCTGATTCTCCATATGGAAGCTCAAGATCTAAAATGCATTAAAATGTTTTTAGTGTGCGCTGTTTGAGACTTCATATTAACAATAGAATTAGAATAGGAGTCTAGTGTATGAGACTTACTGTACCACCATGTAGTTATCATGAGGAAACCTCATGTCTTGTCACAGGGCTGACTCTGGGATGTGACAGGGTGTCGGCTTGGCTTTTTTGGTTGAGTGCCCTGGCTGTGTGGTAGGGCCAGAAGGCAGGAGGTTTGTGTGTTTTTGTGCAAGAGTAGGTGTATGAGATGGGGAACAGGAGGAAACACTTGACTGAGTGTAGAGCAAACACTGAAGGAGCAAAATATGAGATGTGACAGAAAATCTACTCAAACTACAGAAGTGTCAATTTAAGAGCTGTGGGTTTAACATGAAAAAGAGTGAAGAATGTCAGAGAAAGGGAGGATTGTGCCTTGTTGAGCTAAATGGTGTGTGTATGGGTGTGTGTTTGTGGGTATAAAATGTAGGACACAAAAATAAGAATGGATGCTTTAAGTCAAGCTTTTCTCTCAGGGTACCACTTCAAATGATATCCATAAAATGAAGAAGACAAACACAGGTATTGTATTGTGTTGTGCAGGAAGTGTTTAAAGGAGTGGCAACCAGCTAATGTTAGGTGGCTAATTAAGTATTCAGGCTGGAAAATGTTGTCTGGGATCGAAATATGCAGTCAAAAATAACTAAATCTGTCTGTTGAGCACTCGAATTATATTTTTCCATATGCCTTAGCTTGTTGACTAGTTAGGAAGACATGACGACATTGTTAATCAGCTCTAATTTAATATAATAATGCTTTGGGGTAATAAGTGTTTGAGGTGACAAAACAATTTAAAAAATTGTCAAGTAACAATATATTCTTAGGCTGAGTCACCATTATGAAACCTTCTAACCTCTGTTTTAGAGGTTATTTCTCCTATTTCTGGTGACAAATATAAGCAGCAATTTAGCATAGCATAGAAGAGCAGAGTTATTTAAAGAGAAAATAGCTGAAGAAGAAATTAAAATATCTTACAATATTTGATCTTTATTGTTGTTTTCAAAAACAACAAACTGAAAACTGACAGTGTTTGACACTGTAGATAACTTTTACCTTGAAAACCTTCTACAGGAATATCTAGAGAGGCACTCTGTACTGCCTTTGGTTAGGATATGGTTAGCATTTTCAGCATGTCAATCTTTAATTTTTCCCCCTTGACTGGGTTTGACACTGTAGGAATAATAGTTTGAAGTTCAACGTCACAGTTTTAAAGAAGTACAAAAGATGCATAAAGAAAGATGAAATACCTTCAATATAAAAAAGCCTAAAAGACATGCATCAAGTTTCACAAAGTAAGACAGCATTATAAGCCCAAAACACATATAACGCTGGGCAAGGGAGGTATGGAAAGAAAGTGACAAATAGATGAGAAAACGTTTTTATTTAATCAAGGAATGCTATTGCTTCATTTTCAAGTATAAGTTGGAAAAGATTCACGTAATCAATCTTTTAGGATAAATATTTAGCACATTTGCACCGACCTGCACGCAGCCTGTTGCTATTACCCCTGTTTTTTTCCCCATTCTGTTATTTTTCATTATTTTGGATTGGGATTAATGAAGTATTCTGATTCTAATAAGAGATAAGAACCATTATTAGAAGACCAACACCTTTTTGTAATCCTGTTATTAGGGTAGGCAATAAACCTCAAGCTTGTTTTCAGTAAAAGTAATCATCCTCTCAAACTGAACTAACAGCAGTGGCTTCTATGTGCCACTGGCTGCGAGATGAGTGTTTGTTGCAGGCAGTGTGCTGCTGTACAACTTGTCTTAAAAAAACCCTCATCCTCTGTGTTGATCTCCAAAAGTAATCTTTCAACAGTCTTCAGATATTCTCGGCACTTCACAACACACACAGACTCACCACATCAATAATCTGTAGCAAAGTGAGGCCGAGTTCGACCACAATGGGTGCAGAGTCATTTTGGACTGGTCTCTCAAGTCGATTGTAGTTTACCATCAGATCACGATACAGCTTTCTCTGGTACACTCCACCATGACAAACTGCAGGGAATAAATTGAGAATTATAACCAAAATGAAGCAAGATAGTCACTCACTTTTTAACTTGTACAGATTTGCCCTATGGTAAAAGAGGAAAATGAACTAGCAAAGGAAACCAAAGGAACAATGGTACAAGGAACTGATCAATTTAAATTCTGCTGTGCACATCCTTTTTCTTTTTCACTCAATCCAGTAACTTTGTAAAACAATCAAACAGTTACTCCACCCATATTAAATCTAATCAGCACTGTTATTGCAGTTACAACCAACATTGTTCATGCAGTGTCAAATCCTGCAATAAATACTGATTAAGTCGCACTAAGGTGAATGTGATGAGCACATTAAATCATTGAACTTTAATTGTGTTGACCGTGTTTCCCTTTTTTCTCTCCTGTATTCATTATGCCTCATCAAGAGGTTTACACTGAACAATTACAAGTATTACAGCACAGTCCCTCAAGCAAAAACAAGCCCAGGCAGTCACGAGGGTATAGCACATCCACAATGCTAAAATTATTTTTTATCAGTGCTGCTGTCGTAATTTGAAATATAATTACTTTGAGTGGCGGTCAAAGCAGTGACTTTAACCAAGTTGCTGTTAAGGCCCTTTCACAGCAGGCAGGGTGAGCAGGGTAAGCAGAGTGATGATGGATGGTCAAATCGATGGAGCTGTCATGTCACACAGCTGTTGAGTCCACATTTCAAACAGTTTTTGTGTTCAAGTGTGACTCTGGTGGTTGCAGCTCTAAGTGTGTATCTGTTAGTGTAACCAGACAAAACAAAACAAAACACTATTGTTATCAAACTAGTCTTTACAGTAAACCTGTGTTGAACATTATTATATACTTGTTAGAATTTTTAATCTGAATCTCACAGTTCAGCTGTATTATTTAGAATATGTGAATATTTTGTGCTATAATGCCTTGCAGTGTTGCTTTTGAAAAAGACAGCAACTGATATAAATATAGAACAAGGGGGAATTTACACAATCAAGGCTCTGGTAAAACAAATGGAAGAGAGCCATAACTTTAGGTTCAGTGAACACCAAGACATAAAAATCTGATGAAAAAACTTTAATAATGTTTGGTGACTTTGGATTATGTCACAATGACATAAATTATACAGAGTACCAATATAATTACTGTTTCGGGCTCCTACCACAGCATTTGAATAAATGCCATGCAACATACAATGAAAATCCTGACTATGTTCTTCCTATAGTAACATGTAGAAATGTGTGCGCAACACAGATGTGAACATCAAGTGTATACTTTCTTCTCCAGAACAACAACACTGGCTTCCCATTTCAGCTGTTTTAAAGCTTCTGATTGGCTCTTTTGAGTTATTGGTGGAAGAATATATGGACTTCATATATTTTATTTTAGGATTCCTGGTTGGTTGCATATCTCTCACAGTCTCTCTGAGTTCCCCAAAAACCTTAGAGCAGCAGCTTCTCTCATTAAAGGATGACATTAGATAATTTTCTAAACTTCTCTACTTCAGTGTCATTTTCAGTCACAGTTGAAAAGGTCTCAGTCTGCCTCTCCCCAGTGATCCATGTCCAAATTAGATGTTGTCTTAACATATTCCAGCAATTACCAAGTGACAGCCAAGACGTGAGTGCACCGACAATGACCGAGTGAATGACTAATTAGCTAATGAGGCAAAAATAAACAAAGGCATCTAGCTGTTCATTTGTGAGTGAGGGTGTTGGCGAGTGATAGGCCACTCCTAAATCTTGGGGTGACAGGAAATCTGCATAATGGCTGAAAGTGGCAGCCAGCAAAAGTGTTGAGAGTCAGTAAAATGAAGTGAGCCAAGAAAAAAACAAGCTGAACAGTAAAGAGACCCGTCAAAGAGCCACTACAAATAATATACATCTCTAAATGGGTGTCAACATGGCAATTAATGAAATCTGTCTTGCTATAAACCTTCACAATAAGACAGAAATATCATGCGTATGTGTATGTGTGTACTTGCGATGTGTTATTGTACAGCAAACTTAAGAAAGCAGACTTCAGAAAAATAATGAAATGGTAATAGCTGCATGCCATCTACAAATTTAGAACATTTAGGACTGTTGCTTCTCCTTCAAGGAATGGGCATCCTGCAAACATGAAATCTCCACAACAAAACTATAGGTTCATATTTACATTATAAGAAAAACCCTGAAAAATGTTGTGTTAAAAAGCAACAAAGATCCTGAACATAGCACGAGCTAAATTGTGTGTTATAATTGGCTATAGTTTATTTAGCTGTAGCTGTTTGTAATTGTTTCTGTTTCCTGCACAACTGTAGTGAGAGCTTAGTTTGCACTAGCAGCAAAAAATCTTGTTCTCAGTGCCTGTTGGTCTGCCGTTTACCACCAATTCTGTTCATAATATTTATGGACAGAATTTCTAGGCACAGCTAAGAGGGGAGAGTTTGGTAGAGCTGCTACTCCTCCACATCAAAAGGAGCCATTTAAGGTGGTTTGAGCATCGGACCAAGATGCCTCCTAGGCACCTTCTAGGTAAAGTGTTTCAGTCATGTAATGGAGATCTAATCTCTCCAGAACACACTAGAGAGATTACTAGGCTGACTGGTTGACTAAAATACAAATAATGCTCACTTTAAGTTATGAAATGCCTCTTTGTTGTCCTTCTTTTTCTTCAAATACACAACTGCACATACAGTAAAACCTATAGTAAGATCTTAGAAATGCTTGATGTTGTTCATGTGTTAATTATTGTAATCTAATAATGTTTACACTCTTTCTAGTGTTGCTGCAGCATACAAATCTAATTAATTATGTTAATTCTTAACATAGGGAGAATTAAAAGGCAGCAGTTTTCAAGGAGTGTAAAACATCTATGTTGTATATTAACCTCCCTGAACTACTACAAAGCTTTAGCTGAAGATTCAAAAAAGGCATGTTGTTCATTTTTCTCTATGGTAACTTCATAATTCCTTAAAAATATATTTTTTTAGTATCTTTACAGAATTACATTTTTGTATCTGATGTTTACTTCTATTATCACGATAAATCCAAAAATACAGTCCAAAAAAGTCGATCATTACCCACTGAGAGAACAATGCCAAAAAACACTTAAGAATATTAACTTAAAATAAGAAATATTTTAGGTTAGTTTTTCTTTTAAAAGCAAAAGCTAGGGAAATATTTTCTCATGCTCTGTGGGTGGTCTTATCCTCAATTTTTTTTTTTTTACACAAATAGCTACATCCTCAAAATATTCATCTCACCCTCAGAGCCTGCCACTGACAGACAGGATTCTGCCCCAGTTTTCCATCGTCAAGTCATACTTCCATCACCCAGATTGCAACTGTAGCTCTTTTTCAGTTTTAATTAATTAATTCTGAACGCAATGATACAGATGCACAGGACATACCAGTACAGTGTAGTTAACGGCAATGAAAATATTTTTTTCTTTTTTATTGTCTGGATTCTACAGCAGTAGACAGAAAGACAATTTAGTTTATAAGTGGTTCACCCTTGAAGTTGTATGCTGTCTTTAAAATACTACACATACTGGCATCTGTACTGTTGTCATTCTTCTTGGCAAAGAAAACAAATCATAATCTCTCAGTTACACACAAACCTGATGCATGTTGGACATTATTCATTTTCATGTACTTAAAATTAGGCTTAAAGTAACACAGCTGACAGTAGAACTGGTCTTCCTTGGGGTGCTTCTCTTATTTTCATTTTTTCCTTTAATTTCTAGCAATCATGCATTTTTTTTTCACAATACTACATATTACATCCATAAGGTGGAAATCCAGCAATTAAGTACAGCATGTCATTTCCTAAAGTTTGCCCCAAAATCTATTCCTGTCATTGTGTCCAAAATCTTACAGTTGTAATTACCATAACTGAACTGAAAACCATATATTCTTCGCTCCTTAAACGACACTAAAAACTTTGTTTTACAAACTGAAAATATATTGGGGGAAAAATGAAACTATACTTCCTGAAGCAAATTCTTATCTGGGTTTCCCATCTTACTGTACACCATATTGCTTTTGCCAGCCAAAGGGAAACCCTAACAGCTTTTGGCTTCCAGCAATAAAAGGGACACTTGAGGACAGCAGGCCAAAGACGGGCTTGAGCAGAGGAGAGTCAATCTTTAATGCCTGCAAAAGGTAGGTTGGTTTACACAGAGTAGTAAAAAGTGAAATTCACAGGACAATGAATAAAAGACCATTGTACCACTTTAAGTGTGACCGTCAGCAAGATTGCAATGAAAACAATCTGTTGTCAGTGTTTACAACAACCGACAGGGAAAATTGAACCTTGTTTAAAAAGCTGATAGCTGGTGGAATAAAGGCCCTCATACCAACTCTCAGTGGTCCTTCTTGTGAGGTATGAGCTCTGCCCAGAAAATTGTCACTCGCATTTTGAGCCCTGACTTCTAAAACTTGTGCTCCCAAACTGCATTTCCATGTTATCAGACATTACATTTGTTTTTGGCATTGTACAAATAGGTTTGTATTCAATATATCTTTGTTCAAGTGGTTGCCTTTCTTCTGTCAGTTCTTGTCAGGCGACCAGTCACATATTAAATAGGGTGTTACTTGTCACTTCTGTGTAACCCAGAAAATAGACAATTAAATGTGGTTACTTTGTGAAAGTAAAAGGGTTTTCCTGCACCGAACAGTAAGTAAATACAAAACTAAGCAGTGAGTAAAAAACAAAACCTAAAACTCATTAAAGTGAAAAATTATGCTTCCACATATTACTCTCCTACATTAAACTTTTTTTTCCCTTTGAGTGGAATTTGTGGACCTTTGGAATTCTGTTGTAGTGATATTACACTTCCCTGCTAATGTATCTGAGCACTTACTTTAGTGGTATTGGGTCAATGTTGCCTCACAACAAGAAGGTCTTGGGTTCAAATCCACAGACTGGCTAGGGCCTTTCTGTGTGGACTTATGTGTTCCTGTGCAGACATGTTTGGAGTTAGGCTAATTGGTGATTCTGAATTGGCTGTAGATGCAAGTATGAATATTTTCTGTTTTACTGTGTTAGCTACCTGATGAGGGTGTATCCTTCCTCTTGTACTTAACCATGAACTGGGTAAGTAGAAAATTTATGGAAGGATTTTATTATTTCCCAGAAGCATATTTTTGGTATAACTAAATATCTACATATCTAGCATATAACACATATGTAGATCAAACACAAACAGTTTTTCCTTGTTGGGTGTTTTATTTAATTTTACTTCAGTGTTTATTGTAGAAATACACATTAATATTGTACATTTTGCTGTGTGTGTTATTATAGTTTTCCTCTTAAATACTCCTACAGAGTTAGGATCACAACTGCAAGCACATGAAGGAATGTACATGAAAGCAGATACCATTCAACTAAAGAACAGATATCATGACAATTACCACACCACAAAGACAGATTAAATATTGATTAGCCTTGGCGAGTCTGAACATCGAGGAAGGCTGGCCAAGTTTAAAATCGAATCACATTAAAGCAGATGGTTTGCAAACATCTGCAAAAGATCAATACATATCCAGAATTTGAAAAGCAAGAAAGACAGCCCAACTGTGTCTGAGTGTTTCAAGTAAGTTTCCTTGAGAATATGAAGTCACTTTGCTGGGAAGTGGAAATATGTTTTTAAGGAGGTTTTGCCATTGCTCTAGTCAATACAAAAACATGATTTAATAATTCCAAAAACAAGTTGTCTCATACTTTTTTTTTGTAAGCAACATTGATTTGTGCATTGGATCTGCATTATTTATTATAAGAAATGTTCTTTAACCTCCTAAGACCCGAACTCTTCCATGGCATGCATTTTTAATTTCTCTTTGATATTTGGGCTGATGACCCGATGAATGTAAAAACAAAGAATTAGAAGATTTTTTCTTTTTACCTAATTTTTCTTTCTAAAAAAAATGAGAGCCACATATGAGGATATTCGTTTAAAATTTCGATAGAACGGTAGCAGTATAATGTCCTCGTAAGTGGATATCAGGCCCTTGTAGAGCAAAATTGAGTATTTTGGTCTAAATAACCCAAAATGTGATGTCCACATATGTGGACGCCAGGTCCTAGGAGGTTAAAGCTGCATCAATTTTTTTTCTAGCCCCTTGGTGATGGTGTAACAACCTGTAAATAAAACAGACAAACTTTCAAAATAAAACTAATGAGGGATTTAAATGTTATCATCCAGGACCAACATTTTTCATTTGGCGTGGTGTGTGACCACCAACAGTTTACTTTGTATTCTGATCCCCAGTAAGTCCAGAGGGAAATGTCTCATGGCCTGCTAACTATTCCACTATGGTCAGCATCTAGGTACCACTCTTTTTTTTTTAAATTTATTTAACAGCGCTAATCAACCTAGAAACAGGTTTGATGCTGCTGCTGTATACTGTAGATATACTAGAATTGAAATGAAGTAGTATTTTTTTCTTTTATTTATTTTTTTTACTTTTTAATAGTTTTTTATATCTTATGTATGTTTATTGTTTAATTCTAATGTACAGCACTTTGTGTAAGCTGTGGTTATTTTAAAGTATTTCATAAATAAAGATGGTATGGTATGGTATGGTATGGTATGGTATGGTATGGTATGGTATGGTAGTTAAACCCAACTCAAAAAGGAAAGATGTGGGCTGAAGAATAAACTGAAAATTGCAAAATTCAGACAAATACTCAGTTTTCAGCAGCCATTAACATTTGTCTGAGTCACTCTGAACACAGACCCATGAGTCATCCCAGTTTTGTTTTCAGTCTTAATCATTTATATCTAACTATTCAAAGAGAAATTGTCCTTTGAACTGTTTTCATCATGGCCGACTCTGAATCAGCTGCATACGCCTAAATGTTGTCAAACACAACAACAAAAATGGCTACCCATTTAGGGTGTATACATAGATTTTTCAGAATAATAAGCAATCATGCTACACTGTCTCATTAGCAGCCTTAATTTTATGGTAAGTCCACTGCAAATAATCATGTTCAGTGAGCTATGAAAGGACTAGATCCTGGACATATTTTACAGACTATACTGAGAGTAAGTACTGTATGATCTGAAAGGACTGTGTGACTCAGTGTTGCTGGTAGAAATGCACATTATTAAGAAAAAAAACAACAACAACTCAATGATGCTCATTCATTGGGAATAACTGCCAGTATCAATGAATAAGCATCTTTTCATTTCAGGACAGCTTAAATCCCCCTTCAAAAGGTGTCTTATGAATTATGACCAACGTTTTGTGCAGCATTGTAGAGCTCAGAAGACAAATCCCTTAATTCATTGAGTAATGAAAAGGGTTTGATGCACTACACTCGAGACAATTTCCTTGAAGATTCACAGACTCATCTCGTGAACAACATTTAACTTCACACTTGTCTCTTAGAAACTGCTCTTGAACATTCTCCAGGAAATGCCCCTCCTCCAGCCACTTTATTATACAGAATGTATGTTTGCCTGCTTTTGTAATAGCAATGTGGCTTCTTAGAGCTGCAAGCAACCTGTTGGGAGAAGCTGAGAGGACACATAAGCATACAGCACCCTCCTTACTTGAAGTCCTACCATGTTGGGATATTAATCTTGGAGCAATTAAAACGTAAAGAAATCACTTTTTGAAACTGGCTGTTCAACACCCCCCTCCACCTCCGCACCCTCTCAACAGCATCAAAATAAAAAAAGACTACTGCACAAAGACAGAATAAAACGAGGGATTCAGACATAGACTTTTAACCTCGTCTGAGGGTTCTCTTGCTCAGTTCCACTGTCGCGCATTTAACAATCCTTTAATTGCAGATTACACTGAAGGGATGAATGGCCCCATGAAATTCGTGCATCACCGCCGGGACGCCCTCCTTATTGTGGGCCAGCTGTCGCCACTCTATTAAAGAAGGTTCACTCACTATCGTGTACGCGCAGACACATGCAGCCACTGAGCCATGCGCTGCAAGCATGGAAATCCAGTAATACAGCACTTTTAACCGTGGCAATCTTTAGGGATTCACTCTTTGCGCATATAATAATAATATACCGCAAATATATAGCCACACGACTGATATTACCACGCTGACTTAACATTATAATCAAGCATTGTTATTATTATTTTTTAAAAGTCTCTACAGTATGTACAACTCATGTGCTTGGCTTTTTTAAACACACTGGATACAAATCTCATGACCGATAAACATCCGAAGTAATCCGAAGTCTGTCTTAAAACATGTCAATCCATTGCTCCTCTCTCGGTCTTTTTGGCCATCTTTTCACGCACGCATACAGAATACAGACGGAAGGCTCCGGTGACCCACCTTGACAGCAGAATGTTGCCCACAGGTAAACTCCAACCAGTACAAAACCAATGCGTTTCCGAGGCTCCATGGTCGCGGCGGAGCACAACTCTTTCTGTAGCCGCTGGAAATGTCAAACTTTGAGGGAGTGCAGCTTTGTCAGACTGCTGGTGCTGCTCTCTCTCGCTCTGTTTCTCTCTCTCTCTCTCTCTCTCTTTCCCCTTGCCGGATGCTGGAGGAGACGCGCGGGCACGCACGCACACACCCAACGTGTCTTTTTGCGTTTGGGTCTGTTCAAAAGTCACATCGAATTCAACTCTCTTGTACTCTTTCTGCTGCTCTCACGCGTATTTTTATATCAAACGTCTCGAGCCTGACCCTCGCGCGTTTCCGGTCGATTGCGCGTGCGGTGACGATGACAGCCACCTGTCCGCTAGCTGCTGCTGCGCAATACTTCGTCAAGGTTTGTCCCCTCCAGTCATTTCAGGCTCATCCTCATCTTCTTTATGGATGATGACTAAGGAACCGATGAACGCATAATCTCAACATGCACACATTTCCAAAAGAGGACAGCACGCCCCCACCCAACTTTAAAAAAAACTTTTTACACACTTTTTTTTTTTTTGTAATTGATTGACTAAGCGGCTTAGCGTGATTTCACACCCAGTGTAATAAAAGATCTCCTCCTGCATGCCACAGGGATCTAAAACAACTGAGAAACAAATAAACAAGTATAGAAAACAGCACACATTGAGCAGAGAGCCAAATCTTCTCCTTTTGTCACACTTCCTACAGCTCCTCCTTATTTCTTCTAACACACTGCTCCTTTGCCAGGAACCTGCCACTGAGAAAGTAATACTTTTAGATTGCACCTATGTCGCTGCTGTTTTTATTATTATTACTGTGCGTATTTCATGGCAGGGGAAAACTTAAATATTCTAATTTAATTGTGAGATTCTTGGTAATACTAGTTCTTCACTGTGCAATACTTTTTGTTTATAGTGTTACCAAATAAATGCCAAATAAACAGCTTTAAATGCTTTAAGCTTTAAGTTTAATATAGATCTTTCTAGTTATGTAGCTCTCAATGTGATTCAGTCTATATTCAGTCTATATATCTGTATCCATAAAGTTCTGTCCAGCTCCAAATGGCCATGCCTACACCATCTTTACCCTTTCATTGTTATAGGTCTCAAATTGTCCTCCATAGCACAAGTAGGTGCAAGGTCATATTAGCATAGCGTTCTACATCACAATACAACACATGTCTGAGGGACCCCTTTGAAGTAATCTGTGAAATGACAAAAAGAAGACAGTGAAATTTGAGTTGGAAATAAAGGTAATGAGAGGCAAAGTTGACTTTGAGCTTTGATGCATTAAAAATAATAAGACTACAAACATGTGTACATGAATGAAAACCCAGAAACCTTTTGAAAATTGAATTTCACAGTAAAACAGACATGGCTCAGATCATGTGGAATCATGTGGCTTTTGTTCCCCTATGACTTACTCTGAAATTGTCAGTAATAATTTCAAAGAATATACAGACTTGTTAGCATTGTTTCAAGGTACAATGAATAATGCAATCTGAGGGTTAGGTTTTAGACCGCAACCACCTGAAAATCATCTTAGACTTGTACTCAAAGCTTGGAGAAGGATCATTGGTCAATAAAACCACCACAAACCATCCTCTGTAGAGTAATTATTGATGTCTGTTCTAGGCTACTGTTCTCGTGCAAAATCATGGACCCCATGAAGAAGGACAGGGACCAAAAAATTTACTCCATTCGTTTTTTCAAGGTTATTACACATCTATTACAACATATTTTTGGATGATTCTGGTCTGTAGATTCTGTTAACTTCTCACACATGGAGCCATGCTGAGTCTTTAAGACATTCTTTAAAAAGGTATCTCAGCACCTACCAAAAGTTACTTGGCTTTCATTGTTCACTGCTCATTTAGATTTGTTCTAGTGAGTGTCACTGTTAGGTCTCTCAGTTATACCTTCTTGCACATTACTCTTTTTTAGATTGGAAGAATAAGGTTCTCCCTGTTTTACCAATCAATGTTAATTTAAAAAGAATAATAATAATTTTAGTGTTAGTCACTAACCAACATTTTATACCAAGAACATCATCCATGGCATGTCTTTGCAGCAGTGGTGCAGATGATGAATTAGGTTAGATGAACACAGTTTCATTTCAGCATGCACCACTGGTTATGTCTTTAATCAGCATGGCAGCTGTCCAGTGAGGTAAGTCTGGTGCATGTGGCCAATTGTTAAAGCATATTCCATCACGTAATTACTTCTAACGAGGCAGTTGCCTGAGCTTCAGTGTGGTGCTGTCAGTAGGGAGAATAACATCTTCAGGGCACAGGCAGCACACCTTGCATGGCACGACTGTTGTGGTGGGTTGCATGTGTGTGCACTTTGTGTTGTAGCTTGCGTGCAGCATTGCCACCCTGTATAGAGACCTTTCAAGTTGTTGTTTGGTTTGGTGTGATGCACATATGATTGGTTACCACATCAGTTAGCTTAATCATTTATGCTACCCCTGCGTTCACTATATTATAGTTCTTTCTTTCCTATTCTTTTCTTCTTAGTTACCCTTTCACCCACCCTCATGTACTCTAATTTTTTTCACTCTTTTCCCGCTGCTAATCTGCTATTCCCACTCAATCCCTCTTTAAGCGTGATGTTGTCTTTTTTTCCTAAACAAACTGCAGTCTCTGTCTTCTTCCTCTCTGCTTCCGCTTGTCTCTGTTTTGTACTCTTGAAGCACTGAATGTGAACATCAGATACAGTGATATCCTCAGACCATTACAAGAGAGCCTGCAGCGTTTTTCTTGCTCTCACTATTTACCACACTCTCTCACTGGATTGCCTTATCCACAGTGTAAAAAAATTCCCTTCTTCCCATGCCTCCCCATCGTCGCTTTCTGTCTCCCTAAGGCTTCAATCTGGACACAGTTCTGTGCATATATGATGAGTGCTATCAACTCAAATTAAACACAGGTCCCTTTGGCTGAGCCTGGAGGGTTTGTTACTGGTACTCTGCTCCTATTTGTGTGCTATTCTGTTTCTTTAAAATGCATTGCACTGTAAATAATCAGGTTGCACTGAAGACACAACACATACTGAATACAGTCCTGCATGTGTCTTATAGCTTTAGCAGCTAAAAGTCTGGATATTTACCTCAAGAGCTGGTTCACGAGTTTATTTATACAACTGTTTCGTAACACGATCAACATATTTGCTTAAAACGACCAGTGGTCCCATTGTTGTTTTCTCATTTTTTTAATTGCACCTTAATAAACCAAAAAATATTTTCCATCCAGGATTAGGAAAATGTTTTGTTATATCTTATGTACCCGGTAAAAAAATGTCATAATTACTTCTTAAAGTTACATTTTGACCTTTTTCAAGTTTAATAGACCTTAAATAATAGAGACAGCAAACATGTTAGCAAATACTTGTGTATATTTAGCAGGTCTGGAAAAACATTAATTTGCAATTCCTGTACTCACTCTCCTTCTCACTCTGTTTTGTTCTTCACTAACTCCCAAGGAAAATATCCTATTTGTTGCCCGGAGTGGAAGAGATTAGGTTTTGTTTGTTTGTTTGTTTTCCTTCTTTGTTACAGTTGGAAATGTGGTTTAGAAAGGGCAAATTCACATGTAGAAGAAACTTTAATTACACCTAACCTAACTGCTCCTTGGCAACAAAAAATGAACTGAAAGTTGCTGAAATACTCTACAAAGGACATGCGATGAATATGTTGTTGAGTTATCTTTACATCACTTCTCACTAAATAGTTTTAGAAATTAAATATATTAATTTTTGTATAAATGACTTTCACATACAGACAATCTCTTTTATGAATGCAGCATTTTAGCATGACCTTTTCCATATCTAGTACTGATTTATTTAACAGTGAGTAAATGTACCTCTGTGTCATGGTCTACTCCTTGTCATGTCTCTGTGTCTGTCTCCATGTTCTTCTCCCTCTCTGTCATCCTTTATCTTCCCCAGTCTGTTGTGTGTTTCCATGTTTGTATACCCCTGTCTTGGTGTCAAGCCTGTGTGTCCTTGTCTGACTCTTGGTGTGCATGTTACTTCCTGTTTTATTTTGGCAGTCCTTTGTGTCATGTGCATTATGTTCAGTTTTTGCTTCCCCTGTCTCCTTATGCCTGATTTGTCCTGCGTATGTTTCCATGTGTCTCCACTTAAATCACCCTCATGTGTATATATTGTGTCAGTTACTCCATGTATCCATGTGTCCAGTTCTTAGTGTTTTGTTTAGTTAGTAAAGTGTCTCTTTTTGCCTTTTGTAATCTTGTTGGTTTTTCTCCCAGCCTAAATAAACGGCTTGCTTTTTGTTAAGTCCACTCCTCTCTCTACGCTTCTGCCTTTGAACCCTCTCTCCAACACGATCTGCACACACAGATCATGACACCTCTGTGTGAAGTCCATAACTAATAGCAACCTATTCACCTTCTCACAGCTAACCCCTCTTGAGAAACCTACCTCGTTGCCATGATTTTTCTATAAATTTCTTCACTTTCATATCTCAGTGAGCAGAAAACAGCAAATGCCCTTCACTCAGACTGTCAGTTTTCATGACAGAAGACATGAAAGGTAAAGGTCACGTCGAAATAGGTCTGTGTTTTCTTTGAAAGGTAGGATCACACCTTTAAATGAAGAGGCTGAGGAGTGCAATAGAGTATGTTTTGCAGTCCTTACAAGCTTTTCGTAGTGCTGTAAGTGCTACTGACAGTTTATGTCATGAATTCACAAGGCTTGTGTACACACTTACACACACACACATGCACACACACAGTAGATGTGATGAAAATATAAGGTCAGCAAGTGGATGGATGAACAGGTCTTTTCCAATACTTTCACCCACAGTGCCAGGGCAACAACCCTGTAATTTCTCAGTGATGTACAACCTGGAATTGTTCCATTAAGAATGGTTGTGAGACTGACCTTGTAGAGAACCTTGTGTGTTTCTGCCTTTTCATTCAGATAAGCTGCAGTTCCCAGTGGTGATAACAGATATAAAGCTGAAAATTGAGTCTTTCTTTATGCCAGGAAATTCCCTAGCGTGCCTCTATGATCACCTTTTCAATCTTTTCTTTTTCATTCCTAGTGGAATTGTATGTCGGTGTCACAGAAAATAAACTATGCATATCCCAAGTCAGTACTAAGCAGAAAAGAAACCATGAATGTTTCTCAACGAGAGCTTTAATCGTGTATTTCTAAACCTGTCTCACAGTAAAGCAGTGCCTATTGCCTTGAAATGAAATGAAAATACCTGACACATAAAGGTAGGTAAAGCTGAATTTTACTTGTACGGTGTCTGGCTTAGCAATGAATGTTCATTCAGATGGAACGAACTGAGTCGGGATCCCTATGAATATAAAATACTGCATGACAACTTTAGTGAGTCCAAGTGACCTGTGTCCACGAATGTATGTCCGACA